TATGCATAACAAAGATGTCTTGTCATTTTGATGCAGACCTGGCATAGCACATAAGTCTAAATTAAAGATAGATTTTTTGAAGATAGTGATATATTCAAGATGCTCATGTTTATAGATTATAGGAGCACAGAGATGCTAGAAGGGACCTTAGGATTCATCTACTATCTATCTAATTCATCATCCATCTAGTTCAAACTCCTCTCCCCCTCCCTATTTAGTAGGTAACATCACCCAGGTTGCATTACAGAGAATATTACAGAGCGTCCTAGAAGAGATTCATTAGCACTCAAAAGTTTTACCTTCATCTCCCATCTCCATATCATTATAGTACTTATTTCCGTATCTGAAACATTTTTCTCACCTCTGCCTCTTGGAATCCCTGCTTTCCTTCAAGATTCAGTTCTAGTGGCACCATCAGCAGGAGGTCTTTCCTAATCCGGTCACTCACTCCTTCTTTGTATAGTTCTCCCAAATCTACAAAACTATAGTATCTCTTCAACATGCACATCTGATAAGCTGTCAAGTCTTATTTTTCCTTTATGTCTCAATATATGTCTTCCTTTTTACTCTTATCAGCACCACCTCAGTTGAAACCTCATTTCATTCATAGAGACTTCTATCACAGTCTTCCAAAGGATCTCGTCTATATTTTCTCTTTCAGTACTTTCTAATCCAGTGATATTGGTCCTTTTGCTGTTGTAAGTTTATAGACTCCATTTCCCAACTCTGTGCCTTTCACTAGCTGTCCCTTATGCTTAGAATGCTCTCCCTCATTACCTCAGCTTCCTGGTTTCCTTCAAAATGCAACTTAAATCCCATCTTCTACAAGAGGCCTTTCTTGCTCCTCCTCTGCTGCTAGTGCTTTTCCATTTGAGATTACATTCCATTCATACTGTATAAATCTTCCATGCACATTGTTGGTTACGTGTCTAAATAGTAGTTAATGTGAAAAAATTCGGGTGGAGAATGCTCCTTTAATGGACTACAAGAGTTAATATGATTAGTGTTAACTTAGATTTCATTAAGAGAAGCACAATCTATACTATATCTAGCTTACTCCAGATAAAATCTTCAAAATACAAAAATACTTCAAAACGTATTTAAGTTCAACTTCAGTATTTGTCCTTCCAATGAATAGTCTGAATTTCATTAAGTATTGACTGATTTGCTCTCCTTGCTGTCCAAAGTACTCTCAAAAGTCTTCTCTAGCGCCACAATTCAAAAATGTCAATTCTTTGGGTCTCACCTTTCCTTATAGTCCAACTCTCACACTTATACACTACTACTGGAAAAACTATAGCTTTGACTATATCAGAGACTTGCAAACTTATTTGGCCTAAGACCTCCTTTAAGAAAAATATTCCCTGGAAATCTACTTTCTTTAACCCTCTAACATTTTTGAAATCTATGTTATTTCCAAGAAAATAAAATATTTTTTAAACGATGCATCTTAAATTTAATAATTTATTATAAATTTGTGGGGTTTTCCCTGCATTGAAATTTTGATGATGCAATATTATGTCATGTACCTATATAGTATCATATTGTAAACACATCATTACATGCACATATTCCTGCCTTTGCATGCTGAACTTCCTGACAATTGGCAACATGCTTGCCTGCCGACACTTGTTTATTAAGATCTTTCAGTGGACTTGACCATTGATCGGTTAGAACTTGTACTCTGTGTGTTTATTTGGAAAATAATGTAATCACTATGACTTGAACTGTTACACAACAGATGAAACACGGATGAATGGTTTTTCAAAATTTTCTTCTCTTCTCTTCTTTCCTTATGCTTCCATTGCCCCCTTATTTTTATTCAATGCTCTCAATTGAACCCTAGGCTACTACTCCTCCTCATTGGATCTTTCCAGTGCCCTAATCCAATTCACTTGCATGTCACTGCATGACCTCCCTGATGTCATGGTCTTCTTAGAAAACAAAGGATAAAGAGCAACAATAACCATCAGCGGTTAATATGTCTTACACATTAATAACTGTTTCTTGAATTGAACTACATGAGGAATCAGGGAAACAGATCATCATCTCACTTCCATCATTCTTAAGCAAGAAAGCAACATAAAATCCACCACCAGTTCCCTGGCCACTTGTAGGTGTTTATATCCAACTTTTTAGTAGTTTCCAGATGCAGCTCTCTATAAACCTGTTAAGTGTGTAACTGTTAAGTTTTTAAAACTGTGAAGTGTTTAAATCATTTCTGTGGCTTTGCTGTCCAATGTTCTTGTCTTCCTCCCTTGGTGTTCCCCTTGTTTTATTCCTATAGTCTCCTGCTCTCTCATCTACCAGTCAACTAATCCCTAATCTGATAACTATTTAAGATATACTGGCTCTGAGAAATTTTATTTTTTAAAAACTGTTATTGATGCCTTCTATTTTCACAACAGTAATTTTTAGAAATCTCCCTCATAGAAAAGAAAAAAATTAAGCAAAGGCAATAAGAATTCTGCCCTATTGCCCCACGTCCTTATGTGGAGGGAGGTATGTTTCATTTTCTGTCTCCTAGGTGACTAACAGTGTAGCTACTCAGAATTCAGCTTCCTTTTGGTGATTTAAAAATTTTACATTTATACAAATGTAATGGAATACTTTTGTGCAATAAGAAATGATGAGCAAGAGGCTTTCAGAAAGACCTGTAAGAACTGATGCAAAATAAAATGGGCAGAACCAGAACATTGTACACAGTAACAGCAAGGTTGTGTGATGATCAATTATGGATGACATTGCTTCTCAGCAATCTAACGATCCAAGATAAATGCTATACACCTCCAGAGAAAGAACTGATGAACTCTGAATGCAGATCACTTTATTTTTTTCGTGTTTTTTTTCCCTTTTGGTCTGTTTCTTCTTTCACAACTGTGACTAATATGGAAAGAAGTTTTACATGATCGCACATATATAACCTATGTCAAACCTACATCAAAGTGCTTACTGTTTTAGGAAGAAGGGAGGGAGAAAAATTAAGAACTCAAAATTTTGTAAAAATTAATGCTAAAAATTGTCTTTACATATAATTGGGAAAAATACTAATAAATGAACACAAAAATTTACATTGTTGTCATTGTGTACATGGTTGTCTCTACTTATTTCATTTGTATCATTTCATACAAATCTTCCCTGAATTTCCAATATTTATTGCTTCTCATTTCATTCCATTAAATTATGTACAGTTTGGCTTCCCACCTTATCATTCAAACAAAACCTCTCTCCAAAGTTACCAATGATCTCTTAAATGCCAAAGCTAATGGACTTTTCTTCATCCTTATCTTTCTTCACCTTTTGGCACTGTCCTTCACACTCTCTTTTATTTATTTGTATTTGTAATATTTATTTTATTTGTAACACTATCTATCCAACTCCTCACAACTGAGGTGTCATCCTCGACTTCTTATTCTTGTTTTCCTACATCCAATCTGTTGCCAATGTCTGTTAATTTTAGTCTTGTGTATATACATATTCACTTCTTTCCTCTAACACTACCACCACCTTGGTGTAGGCCCATCTGTACTACTGCAGTAGCCTTGCTGGTTGGTCTTCCTTCCACAAGTCTTTTTCCACTCTGGTTCATCCTCAACTCAGTGGTCAAAGTGATCTTCTTCAAATGAAGGTTGGACCACTTCACCCCCTACTCTGTAAACACCAGTGGTTCCTTATCCCATCCAGGATCAAATATAAAAGCCTGTATTTTGTGTTCAAAGCCCTTCAAAATCTGCCCCACTTTCCTTTCCAGTCTTCTTTTATACCTTACACTCCTTTCACTTGACACACACATTGAAATCCATACACTGGCCTCCTTGCTGTTCCTAGAACATGACAGGCCATTTCCTGACCCCAGGCATTTTCACAGGCTGTCCCCATGCCTGGATGTTCTCTTTTTGTTTTTTCCTCTTGGCTCCCTTCAAGCCCCAGTTAAAATCCCATCTTTTATTAGATGCTTTTATTAATTCCTGTTGATAATTTCCAATTTATATCGTATGTAGCATGTTGTCTCCCCCATTAGACTGCAAGCTTCTTGAGAGTAGGTGCTGTCTTACCTTTCTTTGTATCCTCAGAACAGTGCCTGGTATATAATAGGTGCTTAAAAAATGTTTATTGACTGATTAAATATTAGATTGGGATGAGAAAGGCTAAACTCTTGTCCTGTGTGATCCTAGATTGATCGGCGAGGCTGGGGGTGGGGTGGGGATAGAGGGGGAGAGGGTGGGTATGGGGCGGGGGAGATGGGATGGGAATGGAGGAAAAAGAGGACGGGGATGGGGGGAGATGGGCTGGAAAAAGGGGTGGGGATGGAGGAGAAGAGTATGGGAGAAGGGATGGGGACAGGGGAGAGAGGAGATGGGTTGGGTGAAGGGGGTAAGGACGGGGAGATGGGGGACAGAAAAGGGGGTGGTTTGCGGGGGAGGGGGACAGCTGGGATCCGCCGGCGCAACAGGCCCCAGAGGCGGCCTAGAGATGCCCGCCGGCTCCCGCTGCGGGGTCCCGCCTCTGCGCTCCCACCCCGGCCTCACTCACAGGAAGTTCTCCATGGTGATCCGCACAATGGAGCCCTCCACGAAGCCTGACAGCATCGCCCGCGAAGGCGGCGGCAGGAAATTCCCCCGGCTCCCCCATCCGGTCTCTTCGCGATCCACAGCCGTCTTCTTGGGGCGACCCACGTCCGAGTCCGCCTTCCTCTTGCCCGTAGTCGCCATCGCCGCCGGCTCAACTGCCCCAGCCCCAGCCTCCGCCCCCTCCAGGATGAAGAGGAAGAGGACGAAGAGGTGGAGAAGAAAAAGAAGAAGAGGAAGAAGAAACCTTTCGGTCGCGACTCCCGGGCAGAAAAAGCGCGCGCCGAGCTTCGGGCTCCCGCGTCTGCGCCTGCGCGGCCCCTCGGCGCAGGCTTTTTTTCCCCCCGCCGCCTCCTTCCCGCTGGCGCCTGGCCCCGCCCCCGGGAGGATAACTTTCAGTTTCAACGGAAATGGATCCGATAGTCGCCCTACGTCACACTCAGCGGACGAATAAAGGCGGTGGCGACAGAAAGACCCCGGAGAGGAAGGAGAGAGGGTAAAAGGAATGGGGGGTGGGGCGACAGTGTGTGTGAGAGAGAGAGAGAGAATGAGAGTGAGTGAGTGAGAGACAGAGAGAGTGAGAGCTGGAGAGTGAGAGTGAGTGTGTGTGTGTGTGTGTGTGTGTGTGTGAGAGAGAGAGAAAGAGAGAGAGAGAGAGAGAGAGAGAGAGAGAGAGAGACTGTGTATGTATGAGTGTATGTGTGTGTGTGTGTGTGTGTGTGTGTGTGTGTGTGTAGGCCAGCCTTAAGACAGTTTTTCCCACCTCTTTTCTTGTGATTGACAGGAGGGAAGAGAGGCGGTACAAAGGGGTGAGCAGGGGTTGCTCCAAATGGGGCTCTGGATTTCATAAACCTGTTGTCACTTTGTCTCAAGCAATTTGAGTTTCTTCCCATCACACTGGCTCTAAACGTGCACAGGAAGTCATTCTTTATTATTGTTGTTAGTATTATGAAGGGGACAGCTAAGTGTCACAGTGGATAAAGTGCTGGACTTGGAGTCAGGAAGACCCATCTTCTTGAGTCCAACTCTTGGACTCAGACACTTAACTAGCAGTGTGAGCCTGGGCAAGTCACTTAACCCTGTTTGCCTCAGTTCTTTATCATTTAAAGTGAGTTGGAGAAGGAAATGGCAGTTTCCTAAAGGGCATTATCTTTTCTGGGAAAACCCCAGACAGAGCGGCCAAGAGTTAAACACCACAGAACAACAATAAATTATGAAGGAGGAGATGAAGATGACAATGATGATGTCAGATTCAAAATGAGCCAGGGTCATCAGAGACCACTCAGAAATTCCAAAGAGAGAAACAGCTAGACAAACACAGAAATGAGAATCATGCAAAATAGGAAATGAGCAAATCAAATATTTCATACTTTTAAAAAAAATGACTATGTATGAAGCACTGATAATAGCTAAAGTACCAGAAGCAACGGAGATGGAAAAAAATAATGTAAGATAACAGTTGTTAACAGTATTTTACTGAGCCAGTCTCTAACCTGAGAATGAGGAAACAGAAGGCCAGAGACCAAGTACCAGTAATCAGATAGCTGTTTAATTAATTAGTTTCAATATGAAGAACAGATTTGCAAATCGGGAATTCTCCTGAACAGAATTCCACCTTGTTGTAGTGAAGGCTAAGATTATACACATAAATCACAAGTGTGAAGGGAGGGGGAAGGTGGATTACAAATAATTGTTTCCTAGGGTCTGAGTGGTTTCCCACAACAAGCCACATACAGGTGTTCTGGAGTTCTGTGGGAACAGTATTGTTTCAGGTCCTTGGGAGTTGTTACTTGATGGGTAACAGGACTAGAGTTCTGTTTTGGGAATTGGCTCTACAATCTTTGATTTGCTTAAGGTATACAGGCACAAGAATGCAGTGATTGTGAGAGCGTTGTCAAAAGATTTGATTATTTCCAACTGCATTATAAGCTTCTGACTTGCATGCCAGACGAGGCAATTCTGAAAAATCTAAATTATTAGCATATTCATTATATATGTCATATTGATTAATATAAAAATCACAATTCCCTTCACGTTGGAAACACTGGTAAAAAATAAATAAATTGGCCATACAGCCTGATGCAGTGATATAGTAGATAAACAGAATCACAAAAACTGTGTTTGAGATCCACAGCAGTGACTCCTGCCCACCCCCCACAGTCACAAAACCTCTCAGTGCCCTCCTCCCCAACTCTCAGACATGAAAAATTGCTTAGTAAGTGCAGATCTAGATTGGCATAAAGAGTTGCTTCCCTAGGAGTTACCTACTTCACAGAAAGCACAAGTCAGTTTAAAAAGTCATGACCCAACTTTTAAAAAATAGCTTTTCAATTAAAGAAAACAACAACACACAGCACATATTCATTAAAAAGTGTTTACATTGAGGTTGTAGTCTTAGGTGACTGAAAGAAGCATAGTGTCCTCAACAATTGTAGTAAAGTTTAGAAGAGAGGTATACTTGTGGAGAAAGATAATGAGTTCTGGATATACTGAGTTTGAGATTAGTGGAGGTTGTGTCAAAGATGATTAGTACCAGGAGGCAGAGCCAAGATGGCAGAGTAAAGACAGGGAATCACCTGAGCTCTCCCTCAAACCCCTCCAAATACCTTTAAAAAAATGACTCTAAACAAATTCTAGAGCAGCAGAACCTGCAAAAAAGGTGCAGTGACACAAATTTCCAGCCCAAGACAACTTGGAAGGTCGACAGGAAAGGTCTGTTGCACCAGGGTAAGTGCAGGCTGTGCCAGCGCAGACTGGGCCCCAGCAAACCAGGAGCAGATCTTAGGAGTGACTGAATCAACAGCGGCTGCTTCCAGATCTCTCAGCCCCAAAATGATAAAGGGGTTGAACAACTGGTCAGAAGGAGATTACAGGGGTCTTTTTGCTAGCACTGAGGCAGGACTCTATTCCTTTGCCCATACTCGGATCCACATTGCAGTCTTAGGTGGCAGCCCCAGAATGAGGAGGAGCATTAGCATAGCAGAGCTTGGAGCCACAGTGGAGGGGGGGAACCCTCCTCACAGTTCTGATGAGAGCGGGGTCCAAGCCAAGATCTTTGCCCCTTGCACCAAAGGGAATCTGGCTCCCATTTGTCTACAGGCCCCAGCTCCTCATCTCCCTTTGAAAGCCTTAGCCTTACCTTTTAGTCTTATTCAGATGCCCCTCGCCCTAAAAGAATCTGGCTCCCTTACTCTGGTCTCAAATGGTTTCTTATGGACTTCCCTTGTTGACTCCCCTTATCTCCCTTTGAAAGCCCTAGCCTCACCCTTTGATCTTATGCAGATGCCTTTCAAACCTCTCCCTCCTAGCTCCCTTCTCAGCCACCCAAAGTTACTTCAGTGTATAAAAAATCCACCCTGGCTTCCACTCACCTGCTGAGAATCTCACACCCAAAAGTCTGAGCTTTTCTCATGCCCACTCGTCCTTACAGGTGTCACCTGGCCTAAGTGTTTTATCACTAATAAACTTTTCCTCTGGCTGGAAGAAGATTTGAGTTGAATTTATTTAGGAAGGGCCCAGTGTCACGATCTCAAGGGTTCCCAGCAGAACCCCAAAGTCCTAGATCTCTTCAGTTCCAGGGCAGAAAAGAGTGCTTGTGGTCACTCACAGATGAGAACACAGGTCAAGAGAGTAGTAACTACCTCTGCTTAGATCATACCACCTTGGAAGAACTGAAAACTTACAGGTCTCTAGAAGTATCTCTAAAAACAGCTGCACAAAACCCCTGAAGCTTGGGATGGTGCATCCCCCACCCTGGAAGCAGAGCCCTACTTTAACAAAGAATTAAAAGTCAAGTAACAGGCTGAGAAAATGACCAACAGAAAAACCTCTGAGTAGAGAAAGTTACTGTGGTGACAAGGGAGATCAAAACACTCACTCAGAAGAAGACAACAAAGTCAAAGCTCCTATATCCAAAGCCTCCAAGAAAAATATGAATTGGTAAGGATTTTGAAAATCAAGTAAGAGGGGTAAAGGAAAGATTGGGAAGAAAATGAGAATGGTGCAAGAAAATAATGAAAAACAAGTAAACAGCCTGGTAAAGGAGACATACACACAAAAAATACTGAGGAAAATAACACCTTAAAGAACAGACTTAAAAAAAAAAAAAGAGCAGACTAGGCCAAATGGTAAAAGAGCTCCAAAAAGCCAATGAGGAGAAGAATGTCTTAAAAAGCAGAATTGGCCAAATGGAAAAGGAGGTCCAAAAGCTCACTGAAGAAAATAATTCCTTAAAAATTAGAATGGAGCAAATAGAAGCTAATGACATTATGAGAAATCAAGAAACAAAACAAAACCAAAAGAATGAAAAAAATAGAAGATAGTGTGAAATATCTCATTGGAAAAACAATTGACCTGGAAAATAGATTCAGGAGATATCATTTTAAAATTATTGGACTACCTGAAAGCCATGATAAAAAAAAAAAGAGTGCAGACATCATCTTTCAAGAAATTATCAAGGAAAACTGCCATGATGTTCTAGAACCAGAGGGTAAAATAGAAATTGAAAGAATCCACCTATCACCTCCTGAAAGAGATCCCCAAATGAAAACTTCCAGGAATATTATAGCCAAATTCCAGAGTTCCCTGATCAAAGAGAAAATACTGCAAGCAGCCAGAAAGTTCAAGTGTCATGGAGCCACAGTCTCCTGGTTAACACAGGATTTAACAACTTCTTCATTAAAGGATCAGAGGGCTTGGAATATGATATTCTGGAGGGCAAAGGAGCTTGGATTACAACCAAGAATCACCTACCCAGCAAAATTGAGTGTAATCCATGAGGGGGAAAAATGAGTATTCAATGAGATAGAAAACTTTCAAGTATTCTTGATGAAAAGACCAGAGCTAAATAAAAAATTTCACTTTCAAATACAAGACTCAAGAGAAGCATTAAAAAGGTAAACAAGAAAGGAAATCATAAGGGACTTATAAGGTTAAACTACATGGGAAGATGATATTTGTAACTTATAAGACCTTTCTCATTATTGAGGGAGGTAGAGCATAGACAGAGGGCACAGATATGAGTTGAATATGAAGGGATGATATCTAAAAAATAAAATTAAGGGGTGAAAGAGTAATGTACTGGAAGAAAGAGAAAGGGAGAGGTAGAATGTGGCAAATTATCTCAAATAAAAGAGACAAGAAAAAACTTTTACAGTGGAGGGGAAGAGGGAAAGAGTGAAGGGGAGTGAGTGAAATTTACTGTTATCAGAATTGGCTAAAAGAGCGACTAACACACACTCAATTGGGTATAGAAATCTGTCTTACCCTACAGGAAGTAAGAGGGGAAGGGGATAAGAGAAGGGGGAGAGTGATAGAAGGGAGGGCAGATTGGGGGAAGGGGTAGTCAGTAGCAAAAGACTTTTGAGGAGGGACAAGATGAGAGGAGAGAGAGAATAGAATAAATGGCAAGGGGAATGGAGGGAAATACAGTTAGCACTAGTAACTGTGAAAAAATTTTGAAGCAAATTTCTCGGATAAAGGCCTCATTTATCAAAC